TATATAAATTTACTATTTAAATATATCTCAGACGTTCGACCGCATTTGACATAACGAGCTTCCTATTTAAACTAAAACACTTTCTCCCTTCACTATATTATTTAATAAGAAAAAAATTTAAAAAAAATATAGTTGTAATAACAAAATATGTGCTGAAACATTTTATAATTCATTAAATTAAAAATATATATATATTATTTAATAATAAAATATCTGGAAAATCGGTCATTTTCGGTGCATCAAAAAAATAATTCTTCAATTGCATAGAATATTAAAGCTAGAGTTCCCTAGGGTTGTGACCTATCTCCTATACTTTATAATATGTTCACCGCTGATATACCTACAGGCTACAACAAACCAATCTCTTCTCGTATCATTTGCTGATGACACCACAGCAATACTCACGTCAAATATAAACTCTGATATCACGTTTCACAATCTACAATTACATCTTAATATAATAGATTCTAGAACAAAAARTTGGAAAACCCATTTATTTAAAACATAATATCCACTCTCACATTATCACAAACTCACAAATTCCCTGTCGGCTAAAAAGAAACTGGTCAAGAGACCTTGTAAAATAGAAGGGAAAAAAATAAGAAGTTTTCTGAAGTTCTTTTAAAGAATGATCTCCTCTTCATGTGATTCATGTTTTTGTACATACTTAACTTTTCATTCTTATTTTTTTTTTTTTATTAACAGATTAAATTTAAAAAATATATATAAAACATATTATTGCTTAACTAATAACAAAAACATATTTATTTAATTGAAGCAAAACCTTAAATATATAATATTATTACAAGCATCTAGGTACTTAATTATTTTGTTCATAATAACAAGAATTATGAATTACACTTTGCTTATATCTATAATGAATAAAAAAATATGTATATAAAAAAATAAATAATATTAAAACAATAGGTAAACATTTCTTCATATAATTCAATTACACTTGATTTTCAATTATAGCTAATGAATTATAATATTAAATGGTTGAAAAAAAACACAGGAAAGAATAAGATACATTAAGCTGTATCATGGACATAATTGAATTGATCTCCGAATTTGTCTCGAAATTTCCTTTGATCCATACCATCTAAAATTTTAGCAACTTTCTTCACAGATGATCTACAAGTATAATTGTGCATAATTTTATTATACATACAATATTACAGTTATATAATTTAATGTTTAAAACATACTTTCATAAGCAATATATTTTCCTAATTATTTAGGATTAGTTAATTAATTAATTATATATTTTATAACTAATTATAAATTCACAATAAAATTTAAACTTACTTTTTGAACACTTTTTTTTCCAGCCGGGCCCGTGGAGTATCCTGTTCTTTTTTTAAATTTGTCAAATTTGACCTTTGTTTTCKACTCTTTCTACTTCCTTTTTTAGGCATTGTAAGATCAACCCCAGTTTGACTCTATACAAATAGATAATTGTTTACATTAAAATATTAATACAAAAAATTATTGCTCTTTACTGGAAGCTAATAAAAAAATAAAAATAAATTATTGCTCATCAAAACTACAAAACACATTCTACCTGTATATCTCTAAGCAGTTGTGGATCTTGCCAATCAGGTACATTCTGTTTTTTTTCTTTTTCCAAAATTTTTTTGTCTTCCGCATCAACAACTTGACCAAGCTCATCTCTCGGTACAATTCGCCCATGAAATGGACACTAAAAAAATAATAAAATATCATAACAATAACTTACAATTAAGTTTTAATGGTTGTATTTCATTTACCTTAAAACGGTCTTCTCTAGGGCATAATCTACCACTTGGCAATGGGGCTCTACACTGTCTATCAACTCTTTCGAATTTACCAGTAAATTCRATCACTCGCGTGCGTAAATTTTCAGATCCTCCTGGTATTACAATACCGTCACAGTCACTGTCCATTACAGAATTTGAAGTCCAAAAACTATGACCATCTTGATTTGTACTGAAAAATATGAAAAATATGAACAAGCATAATTGAAATTTGGGAATTTATAGAAATCAGTTTTATAAAATACACATATTCAAAAATGGTAATAGGTGAGTTTGTTTCAAATACCTAACCAATATAATGTACAAATTAATCGTCAACTCTATACTTATATGAATTGCATTAAGGCAGCTATGTATCTTTAGTTAATTTAGTTAGCAATTTTTCACATTAATTAGATTGATTTTATGTTGACAATGTAAAATAATAGAATGGTTTTCGTATAGAAGTAATTATGGTCAAACATGTT